ACATGAAGAAATACCAGATTTTATGGTGCCACATATGAGAAATATGTATATACATTAGAATTGTTATCGTCACATAGATCAAAAAGCAGAAAAATAGAAGTTTAAAAATAACAGTTATTCCATTTGAAAAATCTGAAAAGTAAAACCTAATTTACCTGTACAATAAAATTAGCACAACATTTTCTCTTAACGCATAGATTTTGATGCAAGGAAAAAAAAACTATTTTCAGTTAATACAGAAGGGAACCGATTATCCGGAACGATCGGGACCATCGCTATTCCGGATAACTGACTTTTCCGATTTTTTGAATCGCTTACAAAAGCCGTTTTTTTTTATTGTTAAACCCAACTAAAAAAAATTATATTTGGAAATAATCTTAAAAAGAAGAAAAAACGAAGTAATACACTAATGATTATTTACAAAATGATAGTAAGGTAAACATCTTTCCAAAAAGAAAGAAAAATCCTAAAATGTTATGAGGGAAAAAAAATTTTTTTTTTTTAAAAAATGGCGGAAAAATTTACGAATTTCGTTCCGGTTTTTTGGTTTTCCGGTTTTCTGATTTCCGGATAACGGGTTCTGTACTGTATTTGTCTTTCGCAATGCATGGTTGCACGAGAAACGATCAATCGAGGTTCTACTGTATTACATTTTATTTGACAGTGAATCAGTACGACAATAAGACAGTGAATCAGTGCCATCTTCCTTAGAAAGCCACAAAACGTTTCAAACAATGAGAAACTTTTTGTATTCACACTAATTATAGAAAAAGAGCGACAATCAGTTACAAATGGTTAAAATTTATTGTTCAAATTGATATGAAAAAAGTATGTTTAAATTAAAATTTCAAAATGTTATAAACAAAAAAATATTTTTATTCATCGTTCTTTTGCATCGTAAATATTTTTGCATTAAAAACATACATTTTCCACTTTTAATTTTATATACTAATTGTAAATCTTTTAGTTCTGTATTATTTTTATAAATTCATTATTTTTTACACTGTTTCAAGTCTATTTCATATTTTATGTTGACCCTCATTCATCGTTTTCTTGTATTTGTCTTTTGCAATGCATGGTTGCACGAGAAACGATCAATCGAGGTTCTACTGTATTACATTTTATTTGAAATAGAGGTTAGAAACTTGAAACTTTGAAGTTGTTTTAAAAATATGCCATGGGTTGAAAATGGTTGATTAAAATTATTTTATTTCTTCTTCTTTGTCAGCACAACAGCCCTTTGCAGGCCTTGGTTGCCTCAACAGCTGACAAATGCCAGTGCCTCCTATACATGGAAACTCCCTTTTAATTTCTAATCTTTAAGGTGTTTGGGTCATTTTCGATGTCGTTGAGCCATTATTTTATTTATCTTATTTCCCATCTTTTTTTCTCTTTAAAATATTGTTTTGATCAGTTGTTGAGTGTATTTAAAACATTACTTTCTGGAAGAAAAATACTGAATGAGCAATGAAAGAACTGACTTATTTCTGTTTTACTTATTTCTAAAAGAAGTCCTAACTAATAAGGGCAGACTTGAAACTGATTTTAGTAATATAATTAATGCCATGATGTAAGTTTCTGTTTAAATTATTGTATTGTAATAATATGTGAATTGAGTAGAATTTATAAGTTAATTTTGATGTATTTTACACAGCAAATGTAAATATGGAGTTACGCCCTTAATACTTTCATGTAGTTTAAAATAAAATAGCAATAAAATTCTGTATTAAAAATATAATTAAAATATTTGAAAAATATTACAAAAACTTTTTTTTTTTAGAAAAAATTAAATATTTGTTAATTAATATTTGTAAATTAAATATTTGTTAATAATAATATTTGTTAAAAATTAAATAAACGTTTTATTTTATTTTTAGTTTAACATTTTTTTTATTGAAATGAAAATAAAAATTTTTACAATTATTTCCAACCACAACCATCCCTAAGTTGTTATTCTAAATTTACTTTGAATAACAACTTAGTTTTAAATTTTCCAGTTTTAAATTGACATTAAAAGTAAAGCTAAGAAAAATGCAAGTAAAAGTGATGCAAAATCTGGAGAGCAAAACTAATTATTGAAATTTATGAATGCAAAGTACTTTTCTTTCAATGGGATCTAGTTTGATATTTAATTTTAAAAGAATGAAATTTTTTTATTAGGAATGTGCCCTGTTATGTTCTCTGTAAGGAATCACATGGAAAAGAAACAAGGTTGGACACGAGTAGGTTCCAATATATGTTACTATAGAAATCATTACACTCAAAGCCCATCTACAAACTCTATTCTTCGTAGCAAACCTTTCTACACCTTGACATTTACAATCAACTTTCAACATGCAAATGATGTTTGCTATATTGCTTATCATTATCCCTATACCTTTACTACTCTTCTGGTATGTATTAATTAAATTTCTTTTCTTCTTTTTTATTTATTGCTTTAAGTTTTTTGTGTACTCACTAACATTCTTCATTATGTATTTTAAGACTTTAACCTGATATTTATAAAATAGAGAAAATTCAAAATGCTGTAGTAGTTTTCATTTGATACTATTTTAAACATTTTTAGTTAAACAAAAAATCAAACTAGATGAATTTTGCGATTCCTATTAAAAAATGAGACTGAAGTATTTATTATAAACGTCTGATAGAGCAGAACAGTTATCCAGGAAAAAACATAAAAATAAAACAGAGAATATTTGAAATAACTAGAAAATTTCTAGTTGTTGAATAATTATTTATTTCATACATAGGCTATTATATAAAAGTGTGCATCGTTTTTTCCAAGTTTGTGACATAGAATTAAAATTATTGTTCAGTATTTTATTCTTATTGATTAATATTTCAAAGTTCTTACAGTTTTGTTAGAAATACTAAAAAAATATTAGGAAATAATAAGTGATATGCCAAATAAATAAACTGAGGCTAAATATTGTATATATTTTTTAAATAAAAATATATTGTTTTTTTTTAAAAATAAAATCTAAAATCAAAATTATGCCCAATTTGACAAATTAAAATGTTTCCCAAATGTGACGTTATTTACTTTATGAAATGTAGTTTAAATTTATGAATAATTGAAAATCTCTATTATTACATTATTATTTTTACTGTTTAATGATGTAGGCATTTATTCTTGCTTTCAATGATATTTATCTAAATTTATAACTCCACCAATTGATATAAAATGCATAAAGTTACTCCTCTGAAGAAAAAAAAGTCGAAAAATTTTAATTTAATTTTTATATTTTGTTTTTAGACTCATATCTACTGCTGGACCAATAGTTATGATTCAACTGTTTACTTAAAAAAAGATGAGCTTTGCAAAACTTTGTCTGGTAATAGTGTGCCATTGTTAACAATCACTTCTAAGCCAGTAGATAGTAAGCATCACTTTTTTAAAATTTATTTTTAATTTTATTATTTGTTTTCCTGAGAAAATAACAAATCTTTTTCTGTTTATACTTTAGGCAAGCGCCCATACATATTTCTCAGTGCAAGAGTCCATTCCGGTGAAAGCAACTCTTCTTGGGTTATGAAAGGTATTTTATGCTTCCTTATTCTATCATCATAGCATGCATTTATTTTTATGGAATTTATTTTTTATCAATATTGTAGATTATTATTTAGCAAAAATTAAATTTTGATTAAATGAGGAAATATTAAAAGTGATGAGATAAATATGTTTATTATTATCATTTAATAATTTCAAATTTTTGTATTTGAAACCTGAATTGTATCCTTAGACTCATCCTAAATGAAAGAAATCTGGAGAAAGCTTATTGCTCTGTTTTGTAATATTTATTATTGAAAACTTTCATTAAGAAAATTACTTTTGAGTGAGCAAATAACAAAAAAAAAAAAACCAGTCTAAATGCTGTACTTGGCTTTTTGTTTTAAATGCTAACACCTAGATCATTCTCTATTAATTATGTTTTTTAAAAAGAAAGCACCATGTTTATATGGAATGGTTTTCTGTTAAAAACTTTAAACAAAAATTAGTTAACTATTCTTAATTATAACATTTGTTTCAGGTGTATTAGATTTTTTGCTCAGCAAGAAAGGTGAAAAATTAAGAGAAATGTATATTTTTAAAATTGTTCCTATGCTAAATCCTGACGGAGTTATCAATGGCTGGTAATTATGCATTTTATTGTTCTTGCGTCATTTTGTACAACATTTATCATTTTTAAATTACATATTTTTGTTATAAAAGTGTTGGTAGTTTACTGCTGTTCAAATATTATAAACTGCTGTTTGTAGAAAATGCAACACCATGAAGGAATCATCAGAATCAAATGAAATATTATTTTAATAATGGATNTTACTCAAAGTTATCTAAATTATTAAAAAAAAATTATTTTAATCAAGATTTTATTTAAGAACATAATTACCATTTATTTATATTTATTTGAATAGATAATAATGTAATCATTATCAGATTGGCTATTGAATTCATATCATTTTTTCTTTTGCACGTTTAATGCTACAGTTATAAACTTCCTCTTTTTTGTGTTTTTGTCAATCACATCCCTGTTGTTTGAAAATTTGTTGTTTTATCGACAGTGCAAGATACGAAAAAAATTATTAATACTAAAGTATAAAAGATATATTTTTGTTGTTGTTGGTATTACCACGCCACAAAGATTAAATTATAGTGTGTTTATTTGATAAACCGTAATTAAAAAATCTTAATTCTTCAAGAAGTAATCTAATCTTCTATTTATGTATTATAGCTTTGGAGGCAGGAGACCTAAAAACACTTTTTTTATTCTTTAGAAATTTTTATGTTATAACTATAATTGATACTTTCTTTACAAGGTCTCATTAAGAAAACATTAGAAATTTGCTGATATGTTAATTAATACTTCTAATTATAAATATTAAAAATGATTTCCTGCATAAATCTTTTTTTTTTTAATAATAATTTCGGTTCTTCTTTTAAGAAATTGGTTTCAATTACAATTTAGAACAATTATTCTGGAACAGTTGAATGAGATATTTTTCACTGCTTAAATTTATATTTATAGAACTAATTCATAAAAGGACCAACGAAATAATTGCTTTTTAACTGTTTAAAAACTTCATTGCAAAATGTTTTTCCAATGTAAATTATTAATAACTGATTTACAAAAAAATTATATCCTTCTTATTGTAAAATTTTATAATTACTTTCCTTTAGTTACTTATTTATTTTAGTGTACTTTCCTTACTGGTTGACATTTTTTGTTTTTTAGTTTGATTTAATATTTTCTTATTTGATTTTCTCTTGAATAATCCTGTTTTCACACCATTTAAATCTTTATATAATTTCAATAGCAATTATTTAGTACTTTTTTTAAACATATGCAGCCAAATTTTAACTTGTTTAATTCAAAATTTTTGCTGGGGCCCTAGAATTCTTTATAAAAAATGTCAAAAAATTGTGAATAATTCAATTTTTCTGTATGATTGCCCTAAAAATATTTCTGTTAAAAATACAGTCTCCTTAAGAGAAACAAAAGCAAGGTTTCTTCTCTTTCATCATTCTCTCTGCATTCACTATGACCCTGTCACCCATTTTTTTCAAGCTTTGACATACCCCTTTAACAGTAACTAATTTTACTGCTTGTTGAAAGAAAGAGTTAAAATGTGGGTTTTTTTCTGATAGTGGAGCTGTTCCTTTGGTTTTAGAGTCATGTATGTATGTATTTTAGATATAACATTTTGAGTTTTTGCTTTAAATATTGTTTCTTATCTTTTACAATAGCATTGCTAAAAGTAAAGTACATTTTAAGTCAATAGTATTAGCTGAAAAAGAAGCGGTGAAAATGGAATAGAAAAAAAAACTTAAAAAGAATTAGAAAATTGCTGAGTCATCAATATGCATTATCAATGCATATCGATGCATTATCAATATAATTGAAAGAGCAAAGATGACATTTTTATCAACAAAAATGGTAATGGAATTTTAGAAAATTGCATTGAAAGACACAATCAAAAATATCTTCTTTTTTTAAAAAAAATAATAAAGTGATGAATAGTTGAGTTAGTTTCATTAATTGAAATATGTTTGTGTTAATTGTTTTATTTAATGAAAAAATTTTTTTACAGTCTTACACCTAGTTCACGTATTAAATATTTGATTGTGGTGCTAATCTTTTCCATTTATACCCTATGTTTGAAAGAATATATATTACTCCAATTTTTGAATATTTCCCTTTTCACTTCAAATTATCCAAATATGATTGTGTAATATTAGAATTTGTTATATTATCCATAGAATATATTTTGTATTTTAGCTCCTCTCTTAAACACATAATTCATTGTTTATTTACATGTCCCTAAACAATGTGGCTCTTTAATTTCAAAGATATCTAAGTAGATTTATTTTAGTTTCTTCTTCATTTCTACTAACTATAGGTTATTGAAAAATCTAATGTTGACTTTACTTTTTTCTTTAATTAATCATATTCATTAATTTACCTTTTGTTATTATGTGTCATAATTGAACTTAATAAAAGGAATAACTGTATCACAAATCTTTATTTAATATAGTATGTTTTACTAAAATTGCTAAAGGTAAATTTTATATTTGTCAAAAACCAAATATTCATGATTAAAATAAATGCATATTTTAAAAAAATATGCATTAATGAAAATAAATATTAAACAAAAACTTTTATGAAGTGAATCCATTTTTAAACTACTATTATTTTAAGTGTGTTGTTTAATTAAACTATTGTTTTGTACAATTAATTTTTTAGAGATATTTATATAGATATTATCTGGAGAGAGATGGTTGTTAAGATCCCACTAGAGCTATTTTCAAGGGATGCATTCTAATCAAAATGTGCTTTTCTAAAAAAGTTGCTTCCTTTACATGTTAATATTTAATTAAAGTTTTACTCCACATTTTTCATGTATAAAATATTTTGTCACTAAACTACTTGTATATTAAGTTAAGTTTGCATTTTTCAAGGCTTTATTTATACTTAATACTGTTAAAGTTTTTTGAATGAAATAAAATTTGTTGTTAACAAAAAAAAAATGTTTTTTAATCATATTAGTTAATTGTATTTAATTTTTAAACAGTCATCGCTGTTCTCTGTCAGGGCAAGACTTAAACCGCCAATGGATTACACCAAACTGCCGGTTACACCCCACCATATACTACACAAAATCTCTTTTACATTATTTGGCATCGAAAAATAAACGACCCTTGGTAAGCTATTACCTAAATTATATAGAACCTTTCAATTATTTTTAGTATAATATATTCTATCATATATGTCACTATATGTATAAAAATGATTTTTCGCTTTTCTTTAATAAGGAATTTGTATCACCTTTTTTTTTTTTTATCACAGGTGCTTTCTAAATGGTCTAGTGTTTCAAAAATTCTGTTTCAATTTTTTTATTTTTTAAATTAGATATTTTGATGTGAATATATATCCTTCACTGCAAAGTGATGCACGTATGCATCACTTTGCTTTTCAACACCATTTTTACACAAAAAAACGTGTGTGTATAAATGCGTTAAAATTAAGATTTCTTTTTGATTTACCTTTTTTTTTTTTTTTTCCTTTTGCTTTAAAGATGCATTTTTTGTTTTTAAATACAAATTCTACTGTTACAGAAATACAAATTCAATGTTAAAACTAATGCAAATTCAAAATACAATGTTTAAATACAAATTTTGGAGGAAAACTCATGTAGTACAGGTATATAGGGCAAAATATGATAATTAATTTTATATATCTATACACACATCAAGTTTCTAATGAAGACAAAATTTTCTTAAACAGCTATTTTTTAAAATATTTTTATAATTTTAAAGCAATTCTAGAGATAAAATTAATCGTTTTTGACTCAATGTCTTGATTTATTTACCATTAAATCATTGAAATGATATTTTTAACTTTTATACCAATACAAGTTATTAAAAATATATCAATAAAAAGCTTTTTTTTTTTTTTTAAAAATAATAAAAGTCTCAATTATTTCTTAAAGAAATAAGCATACTTTAAGTATTTTTTTAAAAGAAAAAATACACACATATTTAATTTTAATACGCATTAATACACATTATTTTCCATTTTAAAGTCTGAATTTGGTTTTCTTTAGCTAGTTTTGGAAAACTAAACAATGAAATAAATTATAAATACCTTCAAAAAGTGTTTCTTAAATAATTATAATAATTTTTTTCCTATTCCACTGAGTGAATAATTACCAAAATTAGTGCAAGATTACTAGCATATTATTGTCAACAAGATTCTTTCGCTACATTACAGATTTTTAGGAAAAATATAAATTTTTTACTTAACCTTGGACTCAGATTAGGATACAACCTGATTGCTTTCCTGTATGAAAAACTAAACAGTTTTTCCCCAATGCTATTAAATTGGGAGTTCTTTGCAGTGGCCCCCATCCCCCCCCAAACTATTCGTTTTATTTAGTGTAAAAAATTCCCCCCCCCTCCCCAAGCTGTAAGTGGGCGCATCGTGCGCCCACCTTCCCCCCCTGGTTCTTTGGCTAAGAAACCTCTTGCATTTCCCTTCCCCCCCTAATTTTGTCATGAAAAGTAAAGTAATGAAATGAAGTATAACTAGTAGGTTTTAACACGATCTTTCAATTTTTACTGTTTAAATAGCATTCAGTTTTCATTATCAAAAGTTTTATCATCACAAGTTATTTCAAGCAATTTTGGCAGATGGGAGTTGAGCATCTAAATCATTTCAGCTATTCTCTTCCATAAAGTTACTTACAAGTATCATTCCACTACAAGTATCATTTCCACTATATTTAAATTCATCTCTTCAAAATCACCTGCATCGTTTAAAATTTCGTATGCACTCGCCATGACGAACAGCAATGCATAAAAACGTACTTAGTCTTACTATCCAACATGAAAGTTCTCAAACAAAGCTTAACAAACTGTTAATCAAGACAAAATAATTTCTTTGGTCCAATAAAAGTGAGGTATAAATAATCACATTGATAATACCTGCTATGTCTCGGTTTTCATTGTGCTTGAGATAATCAGGATAGCATTTAAGCATTATATTTTAGTAGTTTATATTTATCAAACAGGCATATTTGAATTACTAAGTTTAAGTACTTTCATTTGCAGGTGTTTTGCGATTTTCATGGACATTCTCGAAGAAGTAATGCATTCTTTTTTGGCTGCAACCCTGAGCAGTCTTGGTGGCCCACAGATGAAACAAAACCTTTCTCTGAATGTTTTAAAGTATAAAAAATTATCCTTCTGTTAACTAAAATACTTCATTAAATTGATACTAAACTCATTAAAAATAATTTTTCTTTTACTAGATCTTGCCAGTTTTGATGCACGAGATGGCCCCAACCTTTTGTTTGAATTATTGTAACTTTGCGATTGAAAGAAATCGGGAATCCACTGGACGTGTGACTGTGTGGAGGCAATTTGGTGTACAACTTAGTTATACTTTAGAGTGTTCATACGGTGGCTGTAATCAAGGAAAATATGCAGTAAGATTACTCTTAGTAAAAATTGGATAGTTGTAGTGAATTGTTTCATGTATGGGAAAGTCTTCATAAACTTTTTTTATGAGGGTCACTTCTCTACTTTTGAAACTTAAAAAATGCTCTTTTTTTAATTTTTTAAAAAAATAATGAAAGTACAGTATTGATTATAATTGTAACTTTTCATATTTTTTTATAAACTATTGATGATGAATCAAAAAATTTTGTACAAAACTTTGGCAGACTACAAGTTAAATTTTGCAGTTGAACTTCTTCAAACTTTGAACATTTGTAGTTAATAACATCAACTGAAATTGTAAGCATTCAATTTTTTTTGCATTATGAGTCAAATTAGAGTTATTGCATTATAAGTAATTTAGAGTTCAAACCGCAAACCTTAATTTGAGTTAATTGAAAAATTTGTGCATGGTTTTGTTCTAAATCAATTAAAGTTAAAACAGTAAGCAATTAAACTTTCTCAAACAAAAGTAACAATTGTACTGTGCTTGCATTATATTTGCACTTAAAAATTTTGAAGTTTCATCTTAGTACTTCAAACTATAAGCAGACTTAGATAAAATGAAAAACTTTCTGCAAACAATTTATTGACTTTTGTGACTAATTTCGACCCTTTCGCAGATTTTATTTTGACAAAATTTGTTCGAAAAACACTTATTTTTTAAAAACTTTCTATATCGATTATAAAACATACCCGCTTATATTTCTTTAAATTTAGCAGTTTTTTCTTTGACAATATAAAACTAGTTATTGACTTATTTCATTTTACCTTATACTTGGTCTGCACATCTAAAATCAAAGTCACTCAGAACCATTTCAATACTAACATTTAATAAACATTTTTAATAAAAATCACACTGTCCATTGAATTTTCGATGCCTGAAAGTCAATTGCGATTTTTTTTTTTTAAAAAAAAAGTATATAAGGAGTAAAGCTATAAAACTTTCCGTAATAATGACGAATTCTCCACGAACCAGCTTTCACGTGTTAGTGTACATTATTATATCTGACAATAAGATAGTAATAAATAAAAGATTTTTTGATTATTTAATTATAGGATAAGTCTTAAAATATTAATACAACATGTGTTCAAAGTTTTATTGAATGAAACTCAAGTTTCTAAATAAAATGAAAAAGTTCCATAACAAATGAAAAAAAATAGGTAAATAGTGAAAATGTTCAAAACCCATTAAAAGTAATTGCTAAGGTTTGATCTTTTAGTTTTGAAGTGAGGAAATTTTTCAAAAGAAGTTTTTGTTTAGGAGTTTCCTAAAAACTCCTTAACCCTTGGGGTTTGGGATTGGCACATTTGCTTGGAATTCAACGCTTGGTGCACTTTTGCGATGGTAAAGAAATGCGAAGAAACAAAATTTAATGGTGAAAAAATTTTTGATCAGAGGATTAATATGAAAATTGCATATACATGGTCAATTGACTCTTTTGTTAATAAAGAGTTGTTCCTTAAGTGGATAAATCTTAATAGACTATTTCAAAAAAGTGCCAGAATTAAAATAATATACACAAATAACCCTTTTTTTAAAATATAATGCCAAAGCCTTTCTCAATAAATAGTCATTTAATTTTAAGACCTGTATAAAATTGCCCAATTAGAATCATCATCATCAATAATCATAAGAATCAGCATTCTCATATATATTATATAAAACGCTAATACGTACTTTTGCATCAATAAAACCGATATTTCTTTTCTCGCGTTGGCAAAAGTTTTCATTTTTAATTGATATGCTTCGGCGCGCAAGAGCACGTAGTGAACATCATATGGCTAATCTATATTATATAAAACGCTAATATGTTTTAGTTGATAGGCTTCGGCACGCAAGAGCACGTAGTGAGCATTATATGGCTAATCGGGTGAATTCTCACAGAATTATCATCATCGAAGCCGATGCTTTACATCCGGCTTTCAGTACTATTTCATATTGTTTTACAACACATGGTTTTAGCCCTCTGGTGGGAAAGACTTTAAAACAAAACTTACAACAGTTACTTTTCTCAACAACTGAAATTTAGAATAGTGTGATTAAGAAAAATATGTGAACTGTTTGCAATTTCCAATTAATATTGAAATGCACAGGTTTAGAATTTTCTACAGTGAAAAGTTTTCGGAACTTCAGTGTTCAAAAAAGTATACAAAAGCTAGACATTAAGAACGTATCCAATGAGCGAGCAAAGCGAGCACCGGATTGCAAAGCAATCCGAAATGAACTGCGAAAGCAGTTCCGGTGGTTGGTGAGCGCCAGCGAGCAGGGGGCGAAGCCTCTTAGTTTATTTTGTATATTATTAATTTCTAATTAATTTTGTTAATTACCTAGCTTTAAGCTTTAGTTGTAATTGGGAATTTCTTCCCTTTGAACAAGAAATTAAAATATAGCGTTTTATACAATGTTCCCCAAAAACAGTAAAATAAATTAAAGAAAAATAAAAAAGGGTGGTCACCAACCACCAAATTTCAAAATTATTAAAAAAAATTCATTACCAGATTTATGTTTCTGACTAAAAAAACTCAAACAATGATTTCTGCTGCATGTCAAACTCAAATATTTGCATAGGCACCTGAGAAAATATCTTACATTTTTCACAATTTACAACTACCTCTGTTGCCTATCCTATAATCCTAAAATAAATCCTACAGGGATGGCATTAGCCAAAAAAGCTGAATTTCCACGATATTAAATTTTACGCAAGCNAATGTTTTGAATCAAAAATCAAATATTGACCAACAAAAGAGTAAAATTAAATATTAATATATAGTTAGTTCTTAAAAAAAACCTTTTTTTAAAAAAATGAAAATATGTTATAAAAGGTTAAAATGAAATAGAAAAAATAGCATTAATGCAACAATTTGTCGACAAACACATTGCTGTTAGCGATTGTGAAAAATTGTGTGATTGGTTGGTTTGCTGAGAAAAAAAAAATTCTCAGATTTCTTTGAATGGGAATACAAAAACTTTCAGAAAAAGAGTGCAACATAAAATCTATTATTAAATTATAACCAACTAATTTTTGGAGAATTTTATAAAGTTAAAAATACAAAAACATTTAGTCAAAATGGAAAAAAATTACCACGAAAGCATCAGAACAAACTTGAGCCATAAATGGATTCAGCCCTAGGACAGAATTTAAAAACAGAAGCTAATATCCTAATACCCTCTTCCACCACCACCACAATTGCACAGTCCCATAGCGGTCAAAGGTTTCTTCATTCGTTTAGCAACCGTGGAAGAATTTTATGTGTCATTCTAGTTTAACAGAGCTGTAATGGAGCAAATTTTGATGCAAGCAAAGTATCGCTAAGTTGATGATATTTCAACTGTTTGGAGATACATTTCTGTCTAAAAAAAAGTGGGTATAATGGATGAAATAATTTAAATTAAGAAAATTTGTAAATAATTTGAATTAGTGAAATTTAAAAAATTATCAAAGAAAAAATTTCCAGCTTTTCTTTAAAATTCCCTGATTTTTCCAGGTTTTTATCCGAATTTCCCTGATTTTTCCAGTATAAAAAAATTCCCTGATAATTCCAGGTTTTCCAGGTGGGTGGCCACCCTGTTATTGACTTATTTCGTTTTACCTTATACTTGGTCTGCACATCTAAAATCTAAGTCACTCAGAACCATTTCAATACTAACATTTAATAAACATTTTTATAAAAATCACACTGTCCATTGAATTTTCAATGCCTGAAAGTCAATTGCGATTTTTTGGAAAAAAAAGTATATAAGGAGTAAAGCTATAAAACTTTCTGTGATAATGACAAATTCTCCACGAACCAGCTTTCCATGTTAGTGTACATTATATCTGACAATAAGATAGTAATAAATAAAATATTTTTTGATTATTTAACTATAGGATAAGTCTTGAAATATGTTGTTATGTCATGTGTTCAAAGTTTTATTGAATGAAACTCAAGTTTCTAAATAAAATGGAAAAAAAAAATGTTTTTTAGAAAGTCTCTTTCAAAACCCATTAAAAGTAATTGCTAAGGTTTTATCTTTTAGTTTTGAAGTGAGGAAATTTTTCAAAAGAAGTTTTTGTTTAGAAGTTTTCTAAAAACTCCTTAACCCTTGGGGTTTGGCACATCATCAATAATCATAAGAATCAGCATTCTTATTTATTTTGTACATTAATTTTGTAAATTACCTAGTTATTTATTGAAATTTAATAACATTTAAGCTTTAGTTGTAATTGGGAATTTCTTCCCTTTCTCCCTTTGCACTAGAAATTAAAATATAGTGTTTTATAAAGTGTTTCCCAAAAACAATAAAATGGAGTGGCAACTAAATTTAAATTTCACTAACCACCAAATTTCAAATTAAAAATTCATTATCAGAATTATGTTTCTGACTAGAAAACTGTTAGACTATTCCAACTCAAATATTTGCATATGCACCTGGAAAAATATCTTACATTTTTCACAATTTGCAACTACCTCTGTTGACAAACTATGCAATCGGTGAAAATAAATCCTAGTTAACAAAACAGAACTTAGCAAATCAAACTTCATCTTCTTTGATTTCTTAGTCTTTGCACCTAAATCATTGATGATATCAGTTAATGAGAATATCCTAGAAATAAAAAGTTTTTTTTTCTTCTTTTTGTCTTAAAAGGAAAGTACACACCTATAAAATTCCTATTAAAACAAAATTAAGTATAAATTAAAGAGTTTTACACTACCCAACTTTTACACTACGAGCTGCAAAATTTTGTTAATTTGAAAGTAAATTAACTTAACCGAGGCATATTTTAACCCAGTGGCTGAAATGGTAGTTAATTTTTACCTTAAGCAAGGTTTTCACCCATGTTATTTAAGCTTAATTTCGTTTTAATAGGAATTTTACAGATGCATATTTCTCTTATAAAATAAAGAACTAAATTGTAATCTTTTGTGTTTTTGTTGAAGGGCTACCACATTGGTATATCTCATCTTGAAGATACTGGAGCTAAGCTGTGCCTGTGTTTCGAAAAATTAGAGATTGATGAAGAAACAAATTTGGTGTTAAGCTCAATACCCATTGATCTTAATTTATTACTCTCACCTGAGTAAGTACTTGTTTTAAAATTGTTACTTCTTTTAGAAATTTTTTTATTTTGCGTAACCTAATGTTTCGATATTAAGTATTTTAGGAGAAATTTTTTAAATCTTGAAGTAATCTTAAAAGTAATGCATTTCTTTGTTGCAATATTTTTAAGTGCTCCATTTGTTTATGATTTCATACTTTACCACTAGATAATTTTATCTTCAATATATTAATGTTTAAAATTGGGAATGAGTATTTTCAATTTTACTGTATCATTAATATATTCATTAAAGAATTTAGAACCAGATTTTTAAAATGTGACTGTTTGTTTAGAAATTCTTTAAATTCATTTTTCTAATCATCCTCTTATTTGCAGCATTAAAACATTTAGACCAAAACAATATACTACTTCATCTTCAACTGAAAGTTATGATGACATAGAAGCATCAGATGAAAATGACCTGCCTCCTTGATTTTATATTTGCTTCTTTTCAAATTATATAAAGTTGTGCAATACAGAAATTTGTTTGTATATTCTGATTTAGAAATTGATTATTATATGATGAGCTGTAATAAGTATTTTATCTAAAATGTTAAATAAATAATTTTGTTGCGTAACGTGTATGTTATGAATGATTTTTAACACTTCACATAACTAACTTTCTCTACTATATCCCAAATCTGCTTTCATTTGAACAAAAACATTCACCCAGTTAGTTTTATATGTATTTAGAAAAAATATGAAATATTTAGATTTTCTTCTCCTTATTAACATTAAATTATAATCACTAGTGAGTTCACTTTTGACAAGGATTTTAAAATAAACATTTTAAACGCAGAAACTAATATCCTAGATACGTTGAAAATCGTAACAAGTTACAGAAGAACAAAATTTTATATAACAAGTCACGGAAAAATATATAAAACTATTTTCTAATGCAAAAAAATACATATATGTGTTAAAATGAATGAGTAGAAAATATAATAGATTTCTGTACAAAATGCAAAATTACAAACATCAACAATGCGAAACAGGAATAAATATAAAAGTGTTCCAGGAAAGAAATTATTCGGTTTCTCTCTTATATTTTGTAATGAGTTCTTGCAATTCTGCTACAATTTCAAATCCATACTCCTGCAAAATATTGAGAACAAATTAAATCACTATTGTTCACAAATTCAAAAGTATGCACAGTGCGCCTAAAAAAATTATTACCTTGAATAACTTTTGATGAATTGATCGGATCTACACGTTCCGGGACTCATTCATAATGGTTTGAGAGCGTGACCTCAAATATGCTAATTAGTGCAGTCGATATTTTACAAAATCAGATGCAAAAACATACTTTATCTGAATAAACACTCTTTTTCTTTACGACAGATTTGGATTTCTGATCCCCACAATATAGAGGGTATCCGTAATCTGGGAAATATGGATCCTATAGTCTGACCAGGACAGCAATCTAAAGTTCGGACACTTTAATGTTAATTTTACTCTTTGCTTATTTTGCTGTATCTCGGGAACTTTTTAGGTTAATTGAAAAATTTTAGCAAACAATTATAAAATTTGTTTATTCAAGGGTAATTCCAGATGAAGAATAAATTTAGTCAATATTTATTATATTATTAAATAATAGTTGAAAAAATTTTTAATCTTTAAGTACAGAATTTGTCATTTTACAAGGCAAAATCGGTTGAATAATACCTGACAAAACAAATTTTAGAAAAGTTGCATATTTAAAACTCGATTTTCCGGGAACTACTCAACCAATTTCACTCAAATTTTGTATTTTGCCATGTAAAATACTTAAAATGACATTAAAAGTTGCATGCCTTACAATTCAAATTTTTTTTACTATTATTAAATAAAATAATTAATATTTACAAAATCTTATTTTTTGCAAGGAATTATCGTTGGAAAAACAAATTTTATAATTGTGTGCAAAAATGTTTCAATTTGTTAAAAATGTTGTAGAAAATAAGCAAAAAGTAAAATTAACATTAAGGGGTCCAAACTTTGGATCCCTGATCAAACTATGGGAGTTATATTTTCCAGATAGCGACTAACCTTAATATTTTGAAGGTCAGAAATCCAATTTGGTTTTTAAAAAAAAAGGTACGTTTTTGTGTGCGATTTGGTACCTTAAAATATTGTCTGCAATAATTACCATATTTGAGGTCACCTCCTTGGACAATTAAAGTGAAGATCCGATCATTAGATCAAATATTATTCATGGTAATTAAGAAATTTTTTTTGCCATTGTACAAATGTGCAACGAAAGTAACGGTTGCTCAAAAATAAATAAGGGCGTCTCCGAACTTTTAAAAAAAAACTTTTAAAAAATCAAAAGCATTCAAATACAGTAACTTCGCAATATTAAAAATTATTGATTCTGCTGTAAAAGCTAAAATCCACTGAAATAACAGATTTCATACTAGTAGGTAATGTGATAACAAAGTGAATATTCATATAAGTAAAAGAAATGCACTTTTGAAAATAATTTCATAAGAAAAATAAAATGTCAAAAATTGCAACTTCTAGATTTCTTTATCATAATCTGAACTAACAATAAAACATTTGCTCCGCTAAAATGATTAATTCTATGTAGTCATAAAGTATTAAGAGTATTTTTTTAAATTTATTTCAAAGACCTCATGTATAGTTAAAACAAAGTATATACAAAAAAAAAATTATAATAAAATCATTCAGTTAATATGAGTTAAAATAATTCAGGTTCTACTGTACTTTATTAAAAATTAAGTTAACACAGCTTGGTAAAAGCGAGAACTAGTAACGTTTTGTGATACAGGACTGTGAATTAGGAGTTTAAAACATTTACTTCAATTTCACTGCTGTTAGTTAGAAATAGGGCCATATGAAAAATGTGAAGACAAATGTTTATATTAATGTGAACAGAAATATTACAATTAAATATAATAATTATCTTTAGGTAATTTCATAAAACCAAAGAACTGTCGTGCTACTTTTGATTCCAAAACATGCTGGCTGCTAGAAAGAGGGGAAAACTGGTAAAGCGAACACAAAAAAGAATGTGTTATAAAAGTGCATAGATTTTATTTTTAGACAAGAGTTATGGAGTCTGTAGTTGAAATGTTAGACTTAAACTCCTTATTTTTCTGAGATCCAGACTCTAACTTGTAATAGATTATATCTTTCACCGAATCCAACACTAAATATTTTAGTTAAAAAAGTTGTTATTAAATAATATTTAATATTGCTAACATTATTTTTTAAAAAAACCAGATTTTGTATTTATTATTTAAAATACGAATTTTTGTTAGCCGGGATAAGTATAAATATTTTTCTAAATAATTTGTGTAAGATCATATACAGTATACTCTCGATATGTCAAAGTTTAAGAGATGCTAAAAAAAATTTTTGAGATAGCGAGTTTTCAAAATAACAAGTTCAGAAGTAAATATGTTCTAAAAAGTAGAGTCATGCAACATAAGAACAACTGCTAATAAATATGTATGTAATGATAGATGACAATAAATTAAAATACAACAATTATAATTTTATTTTTGAAGACAAAAAAAACAAAACAAAAGCACGCATTAAATAGAAAATAATTGGTTTACGATAAACTTACATTATGATTTTTCTGAAAAAATTCATTTTGTATTTCAAAAAAATAATAATAGATAAATACATAACAAGGGCACGACGTAAGAATTCGAATTAACATTTGGTGGATATATAATGCCAAGAGGGAAAGAGATTTTTTTGACATAACAAGGTTTATCATCAATATCGAGAGTACACTGTACTTCTTTTCAGTGATAGAAATTAACTTGTGTCAAAACAGACTCAGGGTTGAGTAAATTTTCAGCTTAGACAAAATTGTCTTAAACTCAGACTCCAGCATTGTTTTACTATGCTTACAATACCAAAGAAAAATAACGTAACATCTGACACACATTGATCACAAGCATATTTTGTTTGGAATTAAAAACATTTTCAATGCTTAACCCTTTCGCGACGAGTATTTTTTTTTACAACAGAACAATTTTGAAAGCATAAACTATGAGTAGGGCAGCATTATGCACGGTAGTGCCATGTATGTTCTGTGAATGAAAATACCTTCAAAATTATTGGCAGGACTGGTGGGAAAGTCTCCCATTAGACAGGGAAGGGTTTCTGTCCCAAAAGATTTTTTTGAAATTTGCTTGGGACCTATGTGTCCCGTTAGGCTCGAAAGGGTTAAATCCTCGAAGGCATTACNTTGAAATGTTAGACTTAAACTCCTTATTTTTCTGAGATCCAGACTCTAACTTGTAATAGATTATATCTTTCACCGAATCCAACACTAAATATTTTAGTTAAAAAAGTTGTTATTAAATAATATTTAATATTGCTAACATTATTTTTTAAAAAAACCAGATTTTGTATTTATTATTTAAAATACGAATTTTTGTTAGCCGGGATAAGTATAAATATTTTTCTAAATAATTTGTGTAAGATCATATACAGTATACTCTCGATATTTCAAAGTTCAAGCAATGCTAAAAAAAAAAAATTTAGATGGCGAGTTTTGAAAATAACAAGTTCAGAACTAAATATGTTCTAAAAAGTAGAGTCATGTAACATAAGAACAACTGCTAATAAATATGTATGTAATGATAGTTGACAATAAATTTAAATACAACAATTATAATTTTATTTTTGAAAAAAAAAATTTTTTTTTGATTTTTCTGAAAAAATTTATTTTATATTTCACAAAAAAAAAATTCTACATAGCAAGGTCACAACATAGGAATTCAAATTAACATTTGGTGGATATATAATGCCAAGAGGGGAAAAGATTTTTTTGACATAAGAAGGTTTATCATCGATATCAAGAATACACTGTACTTCTTTTCACTGATAGGAATTAACTTGTGTCAAACCAGACTCAGTGTTGAGTAAATTTTCAGCTTAGACAAAATTGTCTTAAACTCAGACTCCAGCATTGTTTTACTATGCTTACAATACCAAAGAAGAAGAATGTAACATCTAACACACATTGACCACAAGCATATTTTGTTTGGATGTAAAAACATTTTGAATGCTTAAAGTATGAAAATTAAAAACTACAGACCTCAGACTCATTTATAGCAGTTTCTAATTTGGATTTCAGTATGGCAACCATTTTTTCGTGTTCTCTCTTGAATTTTTCGAGCATTTCAGATTTATTCTTCTTTCTATTAAAAAGTAAGATTAGCATAGAAAACTATTTAAATAAATATGATATTTTTTAAAGGAAATTATTCATTGAAATGCAGTCATGTGTGAAATTCTAAAAATAAATACATATTTATTTTAAAACAATCATTAGACTCAATATATTTTACTAGTACCAATAAAGAAATTTATCTCTATGAAACATGTCAAATATCTAAATTATAAAATTTTGAAGTAACAAAGTACTATTACATTAGCAGCTTTTATAACAAAGGGGCTCTGTCCCTACTCACTTCCTTTAACCAGCGCTTCATCAAAATTGCTATGTAATTATTTTGTTTTGAATGATAAACTGACTTTTACAACCTATTTAATAGCTATTCAAAACATTCCAAAGTTTGTTTCCAAAACACAAATTTGGTTCCACTGATTAAAGTGACAATTTTATATACCTATTGGGAAAACATTTAAAATTGTGTAATCCCTCACCTTGGTTATTCCTAAAATTGCTCTAAAACTTTTAATTAGTTACTTTGTATTCATTATTTTAATTAATTCCATAGTCAACAGAGCAGTTTAAGATAAAACTCATAAAAAAGTAAATATAACCTGCTTACTGCGAAATAATTGTAAAATGCTAACTAAATAACGATCCTTAAATGTTTTAAATTTAATCAAATTAAATCAAAACTGAAAATAATCTGGCACAGTTTTATTTCCGATAATCATTTACAACCAAGTACGTGCACTGGTTATCCTAATAGATTATGAACATATAACCAGCCCTTCTTCTTTAAAGATTTATACCAAAGGTTTATTACCAAAAATTAAACAAATTAAGAATAAATTCATATGAAAATTTGTTACTTGGTTTAGTATTTTTTAATAAAATGATTTTAAAAAATATCAATAATTTTTAAATGTAAATACAATGAGTATTGAAGCTATTTCATCAAACGTGTAAAATGATTGGCGCTTTCATATGCTGCAAATCGACGGTATGCAGAAATGGATTCTGGTTGAATGAGTTGAGAAAATGTTGAATAGAATATGAAAACTACGCTTTTTGCATAATTCATGGCAAAATTCAACATAATAGGAAGAAGAATAAAAATCTCATTTCAGATAAAGGGAAAATTAAGTACTTTTTAAAAACACCCAATGATTTCCCCTATGATGTATTCTAGAAGGGCAGGTGCTTTAAACTAAAAGTGCTTGAAAATCTATTCAATACATTCTAAGAAAAACGACCTCAAAATTAGTTATAGTTAGTACAAAGGCTAAATTAAAAAAGCAGGCAGTAAGTTATTACAGTAAATTCTGAAAGGTATGAGTCGCGGCATACCTTTCAGAAATTATTGTAATAACATAAAACAGTAACAATTGCAAAAATAGTTTTAATAATCAAAGTCACCACCAGGATACTTGCTTCCAATCACCATTGCACAAAATGTTTCATTTTATGACAAAATGAAAGATCATATTCTCCAAATTGTGAGAGCTATTTTTTTTCTTTTCATTTTAGATAAGTTACTCTACTACATCAATTAACAATAGATTACATTATTTCTGTCACAGAAGAAAAAAATCAACTTTAAACAAGCGATTGAGCAGCAGCATGCTATTAAAAAGAACACACATTCTCTATTTCTTTGGGGGCTTTGTGTGATAATCCCACATTCTATTTTTAGCCATATGTTACTCTTTGCACATAGCCTGAAATTTCAACTGTTAAAAATTACAAATCCTTCATTTTTTTTATTTTTTTTTTAGCTGCACTGTAACTAGATTAAATTATAGGTTTTTGACTTTTACATGGGCTGGGGTAGAACATCAAACTCCCCTTAAAATATTTGTTTAGAAACTATATAAAGTGAGTTCAATATGTAAGGAAAATAAATTGCAATGCATTAGAGCAAAAACTATCTTACATTTTCAATACTTCTTGCATGTCAGATTTCAACTTGGATAATTTATCAAATTTTTCTCTTTTATCCTTTTGTAATTCTTCAAATTTAGACAAATCCTTATCACATTTATCTTTGAGAGCTCTGACTTCTTCAACAGCTAGCTAAAATCAAAATATATTTCTATAAAAAATTTTCAAAAGGGAGCTTTGTAAAGCTGTAAATAGCAAAATTCCAGAACAAAAAATAAAAGTCCGTAGCATATTTATTATTTTCTGCAAATCCGTTGAATTGCCTTTTGTTGCTATTGTTAACATCATACAAAGTTTTAATATTTTATTTTTATGAGTCTAATATCTAAATTAAAAAAGCACTTCGAAATAAAAAAAAGTTTTTTTTCATACAACAATTAAGTTTAAACATTCTGTAAATGCCAGAATTAAATAATATATTTTTAATTTTGCTAATTAAAAAGATATAGCCTGAAATAAATGTCAATTTTAATATCTAAATTTTTTTAAACCTCCTTAAAATAAAATAATAAATAATGATTAAAAACTATTTTTTAACATTATTTTTTTCTTTTATTTGACAACCAAATTTCATCTTTGCATGCAAAAAAGTTTGATTTGCTGAAAAAGTTCTGGAGGCATGGTGAAACACACAAAAAGTGAAATTAACATTAAAGGTACCAAACTTTAGGCACCTCTCCAGATTAAACTATTGGGACCAAAATTTTCCAGATTAAAGTTATCTCCTTTGATTTTAATATTAAATTCGATTACAGGGACAAATCTGTCCTCTTGAATAGGGACCTTAATGCATTTGCCTTTTAATGAGGGTGGTTAAAAACAATTTTGAGGTGCAAGATAGAGGTTGAGAAACATAAAATAAATATTGAAATACTCTTAAAAAATTATCTACAAATAAAGCTAACAAAGTGATAAGGGCAGAAATAATTCTACATAAGCAGACACACTGCATTTTCTATTTTATGATGAACAACCATCCTCAATCTTGAAATGCAGAGATTTAGATGAAAATTAACTGTTGACCGATAGATAATAAATTATCCTAGGATATACCAATTTTTTAATTATTGTGCGTAAAAGTTTTTGATTAATCTAAATAGATCCAAAAATGTAAAGCCAGCATTAAGAGATCCAAACTTTTAACTGTTCAAACTAAACTTTCATGACTATATTTCCCAGATTGTGATCTTAATATTTTCAGGATCAAAAATCTAAATCAATTGGGCAAAAAAAGCATATTTATTATACAAAAGCAAGTTTTTTTTTTGTGTGTCTGATTTTGTATTGTAAAATTTTTTCAGTATAAATTAAATGCAATATTTAAGGTTAGGCCATAGTATCAGTAACATTTCATCTAAGAATGTGAAAATCAGATATATAAATAAAAAGCTTCATACAAATTCCATTTTACATACTGTACAGTGTGCAAAAAAAAAAGAAAAAAAATTAAACACTCTGAATAACTTTTGATCAGATTTTCAAATACCAGGCCTCGACCTCAAAAGTTCAAGAGATGACCTCAAATATGCTAATCAAATTAATACAGACGTTATTTTAAGTCACAAAACCAGACACAGAAACGTATTTTCTCTGAATAAACATACCTTTTTTTCAATGGATTTGATTAACTTACCCTCAACATATAGGGAGTAGATGCAATCTGGGAAATAAGGTCCCAATAGTATGTTCAGAAGAGCAGTCCCTTAGAAGTTAGGATCCCTTACTGTCAGTTTCACTTTTACTATTTTTACTACATTTTAGAATTTTTCAAGCAAAAAGAAACATTTTGGCACACATAAAACTCGTTTATCCAAAAATAATTCCATGCAAAAAATAATTTTTAATAATCATTTATTATTTTATTTATAATAGTTGAAATCTTTTTTTGAATTGTAAGGCCCATTCATAAGAATCATTTAAAGAAGTGTAAATTTATATAACAAAATATAAAATTGGAAAGTAAATAAGTCGATTAGCTTCAAAGTTTAACTGTCCAATATTTTAAAATTAGATTTCTCAGAAACTATTTGACTGATTTCGATCAAATTTTATATTTTGCTATATAAAATTACATTGTTTTACATAAAAATTATGTGAAAATTTTCATACCTAACAATTCAAAAACTATTATTAAATAAAGAAATAATTGTTAAAAATTATTGGATAAAAAATTCTGGATAAAAAAATATTGGATATAAAAATTTTGCATGTAAAAATTTTTCAATTCACTTGAAAAATTCTAGAGATACATAGACTATATAATTGTACACCAACTCTTGGTGATATAGATAAAAATTAAAATTAGCATTAAGGAGATCAAACTTCTCTCCACTCTCCTGAACAAACTATGTATTGGGATCATATTTCACAGACTGCAACTATCTCCTATGTTTTAAGAGTAAGGAACAGTTGGAAAAAAGTTATGTTTGTTCAAAGAAAGTACATTTTTGTAACTTAAAATATCATCTGCACTAATTAATAGGGGTGTAATGAACAGTGATTTTGCCCAATATTCGGTCAAAAATATCAGCCGAATATTCAACGGCTGAATAACAACATTTTTTTAAAAAGAAAAATCACTTATAAATACTTTTTACATCTAAACAAGCTTAGTCATTATTGAAAAATAATTGAAACTTAGCAATATTATTGGTATGAGGAAAAGAAAAAAAAATTATAATTGAAATATTTAAGGTAAGATAACTAGATGTTAAGATGATAATCAGATATATTTAATATAAATAAAAAATTGCTATTGAAAAGAAAAAGAACTTATGTTGAAAAAAGAGAACTAGAAAAAAAGTCCTCTTAATTCTTAAAATAAAACTTTAATGGTAAAGATATTTACTTTAAAAAAATATCTATAAAGTGTTAAAAGAGATAAATTCGATTAGAAACGCTTTTAAAAATATTGCACTATCATAAAAATGCTCATAAAAAAAGGTTAAAAACAAAAGCAAAACAGAAAAATAAAAATCTTAATTTCTTAATCTCAATTTTTGAAAATAATTTTTAAACCCAAACATCTCAGTTTTCCAGTTACTGTATTTCCAAAAATGTTAAGAAAAAAGAATAGTGTCTAATAAAAACCCTCTTAATTGCCGTGTCATAATAAAACCAACTAAAAATCTCAATTTAACTTTTTCACATCTTATTTTATAATAGTTGTTGAACAGCTGACCCAATTTTAGGTTTACAACTACCAATGTTCAACTTTGTAGTCCTGTAATTGTGAACCCAATCCAGAAGACAAGGGAACTCCTATATCAAGTATTGGGAGGAATTTGCTTTCACGGAGCACTTTTTTTGATGGAACCAACTCACATTTGGGCTACACGAGGAAGAAAACCACGAAAACATCCCACAGTTAGCCTGATGGTAAGATGACTATAACCCATGATCCGTCTACCACTGAGGATATTTCACGGTAGCACTGTGATCAGTGCGAGCCTGGTGCGGAATTCAAACTTACCAATCGTCGCTGGAATTCGAACCAGGTTCACCACATAGGATAGGTAAGCGCTCTATTCCCTGAGCCACCACGGATCCAACTTTTTCACATTGTCGTATTTTAAGAAAAAAGTTACCATAAAATACTCTTTCAAAATTCTGTGTCATAATAGAAATGCTGATAAAAAGGAAAGTTAAAAAACGCAAAAGAAAAACAGAAAAAAAATTGTTCTTAGTTCCGAAACATGACTTCAATGTTGAAAATTATATTTTTATGTTATTGGTTATCTATCTAACCACACCGGAAAAAAAGCAACAATAAAATAATAAAGTCAATTAGAAGTTCTCCGCTATAATTAAAACAGAAAAACAGTAAAAACAAACTTTTTTTTACAAAAAAAAGTTCTCAATTCTTAAAACAAAAAGTGTTGGGAAAAAAACAGTTTAATTGATTTACCTTTATTTAATTAAAAAGCAAAATCTGCAGTACAAAACTTATGGTTCAGTTTAAAGTAATCTAGTTACAATTCTTCAAATTTCACTTTTCCATTTGTTTTTCAGAACATAAATTAACAAGTTTTAGAACTTAATAAATACTAAAAACTGTATCTCATTATATATATGTATAGTAAATACGATTTTAGACAATTATTTATTAAATTTATCCAATATTCCAAAAAAAAATTTGAGAAATACTTTTCCAAAAAGTACTATGCAGAACATTCGGCCGAATACCGAACAGTGGCCAAATATTCGTTACATTCCTAATTAATTTACAAGTTTGAGGTCACCTAACTGATCCATTAAAACCTAGTACACGAAAATCTGATCGTTAGGTCAAACGAAATTTGTTTCATTATGTTTCGTTTATTTCTTTGTGCACTGTACAACACATTATTCAAATAAAAAATAAACAAGGTGTTACTTTTTCTAAATTTGCCAAATCATGTTCTTTTTGAAATTCAACGGAAGATGAGCACTTCAGTTTGGCAGATAGTTGTATCTTTTTCATTTCTATCTAGAAAAGATATAAAATTTTTTTTAATAACTTTTAAATATAAACAAGACAGAAAAATAAAAGAGACAGTATAGTGCGGCTTTAAGGAGAACTCCTCCAGACTAAAAGTCTGGGGCTGTCTGCTGCTATGGTTACAAGTGAGAACACATTTCTAATAAGGGTGGAGGAATGAAGGTGTAGATGGATTTAATCACGCTGACCTATGCCAAGATCAAGACAAAACTATTCACCTCACAGTCCTACTCAAAGTGACTTTTCCTCGTAACCATGGTACCTGCCACGACACGAGACTTGTGTCTAGAGCAGTTCTCCTGAAAGCTGCAAAATAGCAGTATACTTTATGAGTTCAACAGAAGTTTCTTAAGTTCCTCATCTTTTAATTTAAAAAATGTTGATTCACTAAGTTTATTTCTAGTTAGTGTCACAAACAGGGCCTAGATAATTTCTAGGACCTAGCAGGTTATGAAAATGAAAGTAGCACGTCTATTAACCAAGTAATTTCAAATAATTAACATTGGGGGTAAATTAATTAATATTTTTCTTTTGCATCGTTAAACCGCGTTCTGTATACCCTAGATCATGAACCTGACAACAAAAAAAGAAAGAAGAATGATAAAAGAGTAGAACTAAGAATAGTTTTGTAATCAGGTTGCTCCTCTCACATATGAATTTCTCGGTAACTACAACTACACATTTGCTTGCATTAAAAAACTATAACATGGGTACATTTTTCTTTTGGTTCATGTATGTTGCTTCATTTGAACATAATCAGCTTTGATATGCAGAAATATTGTAAAAAATCACCAAAAATTTGTTGACATATTAAAATTTTAAAAAAAATTATCAAAAATTTGAGTATTGGTTTCCAAATACTGGGCACTATCCATCTTTGGGTTAGATTTCGTACCTGTAAATGCCTCCTTTGATCCCAAAATGGTCTCGCTCAACATCTTGTTTTATTATATGCATAATGATAACACTGAAACATGTAAACACGGGTATAAAGTGAAACATATATTTATATTTTTTTGGCTACATTTTTCCTGAGTCAGTTATCAGAGATCTATCCAGACTTTTTATAAAAGGTTTTGTTTTTGTAAAATATCTACTAGCAGTTTGAGTTCACAATTAGCATTAAATCTGATTTTTTGCAGCCAGTATCTTCTTTTTGTGAATGCTTGAAATAAAGGTCCTATTTTTCAATATTTTCAGCAATTGTACTAAAATAAATATTTGAGTTTAAAGTAAGAATAAATGGATTAACAGCAAAGGATCTTTCCAAATAGATAAAAAAAATAAGTTCAACTATCATTATTTACAAATTTCCTTATTAATATCATCATTAATAACATTCAATTTCAAAGGATATCTTTCAAACAAAACAGATATTACAAGTGTTATACATAATTTGTTATTATAATAATAGATTGGAAAGTTCCATATCTAAAATCTTGGAACTTAGGCAAGTCCAGAAAATAAATTTTCGCGAATAATAGGTCTTTAAAGTAAACGAATACAAAATATGCATTAATCAATAAACAAATGGAGATAATTAACAAACAATTTTAAAGAATCAGATTTACAGATCAGTCAATTTTACAGAACATTTTCTTATAGGTTGGATGATCTTTAATTAACTAAAGAATGTTGAGAAATAAATATAATATAAAAGAAAGGTAAGTAGAATTTAATTTGAAAATGAGTGTAGTAACTGTAGTCAGCATAAGTGGAATTCAGAATGTTATTATAAAAGATGAAGAAAAAACCAAAAAGTAGTAGATATTGACAAATTTATATAAGTCAGAGTTGTTTAAACTTAATATACAACTGACTATCTAACATATTATATAAATTAGCTTTAGTAGCTTGTGTATAAATAAAAAAGTTTCTCTACCGAAGTTTGTTCTTCTGTTTTTGCAGAGATTATTGTTTTAATGATGATAATAGTCTTGACAATCTTTTTTTGTATTTCTTCCAGAGCCTCTTTGTGAGCATCAATCCACGCCATAAAAGCTCTTTGACTGGAATCAGTGGGACATTCTGGAATCTCAATTCTGAAACTGTTACAAACATTCTGCACCTGAGGATCTTTAATGTTTCGCAAATTCTGGAAACTTGCTTTAACGACATCAGATACTTGTGAAATCGTTTGTATCAATTTCTTGCTCAATTCTTTACCCTGAATAGAAGATATTTTAATAATATTCAAAATACTTATAAAACATTTTAAAGAAGATGAAAACATTAAAGGAAAATAGACAAATGTAAAAAAGTATAAAACAGAGCTATATGTGAACACTAAACAAGAAAAACTACAAAAAATATTGTAATATCTACTCCTGTAGTAGACAGATCATGGACTAAAAGAATTTTCGATAGGCAAATTATGGGCAATTTTTTTGTGGGACTCAGCAGTTTGAATTTGCATATTTATAGTGTGATTTAAAGCTTTCCTTGAGTTAAATTTTTTGAAATACTCTTGAATAATTATTATTATAGAATAGTATTGTTTCTAAAAATTGCCTATATATGTAACGAAAATGTATTGAGAGAAAATTCAAAATTACTTGTAAATAATTGATTAAAAATAGTATTTAAAAGTGGCAAATTGATGCAGTGTTATTCATATTTATGTCATTGTTTATAATCCAATTGCTATTTCACGATCAATGGAAGTCTGTCGACAGTCTGATTTTTGTCAAATTTTGTGGGTTCGATAAGTTGACTTACTTGCCGAGATGTATGGTAATTTTTTATTTGATATCTGACACTCAAGTTGGGTTTCTATTTTTAGAAATTCTTAAGGGTATTGAACTTGAGTAAAAACTACGATTTTATTTATTCAGTGGTTAGTTTGTCATACTTATGAAACAATTTTCTGCATTTAAAAAATATTAAGACTTTAGACATGATATTGTTTTTAAAAAATACTGAACAATATAAATATGCTTAATCAGAACTTTTGTATAAGTAAAAAAATTTAAAGTAAAAAAAACAGATTTTATTATTTAAAAAAAAAAAAATATTAATGATTTTTATTTTACGAAACTCTGTTTTCAACCACAGAGTAATTTATATATAACATTGAAATTTCCTCCTATTTTGCACTCACAATTGCCAGATATCTGAATTAAAACAACTTGCTCATTCATTGAAATTTAATAAAAAATATATATCTTAAATCTTCTAGTCAAAATCCTATTGTTTATACTCAAATATCATTCGAAACTGCTAAAATACTAAATTTTTTATGCAAAGTAGACATTCTGTCAGTTTAACTAGCCATTTAATAGAAATAAAGCCTTAACTAATGCAATAACATTAAACAGTAAGTGATTGCTCATTATTAAAATTACAATAATTTTAGGAAAAAGATTTTTTTCACATTGATTAGTTACAAATAAACATACATGGACATGACAAAGGGATAGAAACAATAATCAACTATAACAAAATGTTTAACAAAGTAGGAGTGTAGACTAAACAGCTTCAACGTATCAATATCTTACAAATTTATTTTTAGGCTACTGGATGTTTATAATATTTTGGTAGCACAAATTAATTATAATTATAATGCTTAAAAATAAGATATTCTTATTACACTAAGTCACTACAATAAATAGAAAAAGAAAAGTAATTAGCAAAATCAATAAAAAAAAGATCAATAAGCAATTTTTCTGACAATCCTGGATGGAACAAAAAAATTAGAGGCATACAAATGAAAAAGGTTAAGATAATTTAATATATTTTTTTTCTATTTTGCTCTTTATGTGATATAAATGTAGTAACATAAAGCACATTAGATTATTTGTTGACACAGGAGAAAATTAATCTAGATACTTAATCAAATATTAAAGCTAGAAAAATACTTTATAAGTCCAAGTTATTTTATGACAGTATGTTATTTTTATAATCCATGGGCAATGGTGTGAGTGTGTAGCCAGATTTTTCATCAAAAAATAAACACCTTATAAGTAATTTTTAAGCACTCAAAAAATATTTTTAATCACTTTCCAAAAAAAATAATAATCATAACTAGGATCTGTGCAGTAACAAAAATTATCCTTTTCTATCGTTTTAAAGTTCTTAATTTATAAACATAAAATCAATAAAATTCAAAAACATTTTCAAAAACTTTACATAATCATGATAAAATAACTAGTTTTTGATAAATATTGCAAAGAAAATTATAAAAATCATTAGTTTTCTTGTAATTTAGAACGACAATCGATACGGCAAAGAAAAAATCTCTTCTAAAAAGATAAAAAACTAAGCACTTTTTACAAACCCGAATAAAAAAAAACAACTTTAAGGGCGTTTAAAAAACGTAAATCAAAAATAAGCACCTTTAAGCACTTTTCAAAAACGCTACGCACCCTGCGACACAAAGTAAAAAACCCAGAACCATTTGCAAAAAATCGGTATCAATTTATATAACATACATGCTTCGTTTAAAACATAATTTTTTGCCACAAGATTAATAATTAAATTACCTAGAAACGAAGAATATCACACCTTTATAGTAAATAAATTAAGAAACACCTTAATTTTTGCAAGAATCACGATAATGGATTTTAAAATTAAGGTGAATATTGAATAATGATATTGGATTTTAAAATCGTGTGAATATAAACCATGATGCTGAATTTTAATATCGCATGAATAGGAATCATGGCATTGGATTTTAAAATCGAGAGAATATGAATCTTGATATTGGAATCTAAAATCTGAAGAACATGAATATCAACATCGGTTTTAAAACATTGTTTTAAAGTGAATATGAATTGTGATGCACGATTTTCAGATTGCATAAATACAAATTGCCATGCTCTTAAATTACGTATAAAATCATTTATCTGGAATAAATATATTGTGTTATTAATTGCTTTTTCTTACAAGAAATTTTGTGGTCTTCTTAGAATTGTCAAGAAATGTATGCAAACTTTTTTTTTATTTCTTAAACCTATTGTTTAAAAAATTGAGTTGTTTTTTTTTTGGACCAGAAAACATATGAGAAATAAGTTTCCGGTAAATTCGCTCTAAAATGAAATCATTTTTCAGAAATGTTTAGAGGCTTCCATACCTTATCGAGAATCTTGGTATACTCTATATCTAAACTCCAACACTCTTCTTGTAGATTTCTTAAAGATGCCCTGTTTTGCTGTAAATTTTCATTTAATTCTTTCTTCAGTTCTTCAAAATGAGTAAGATGTTTTTTGCCATCAAAACCTTGAGCATCGTATAAAGCTTGCTTTTTGCTAAGTATTTCCTCTTGATCACGCAACATTGTTCCTGGGAATATAAGTAAAATGCTGGTATGTGGTTTTCAGACATTTGTCATTTAATAAAAAAATCGAATTATGAAAGTAACTCATTTGCTTTGAAGAAAGTGTAATTCATTTGTTTTAAAATTCATATAATTAAAACCTTAGCAAACACCTTACAATTGCAGAATTGTGGAAATATATAAGTTAGTTTTTAAAATCAAACCACATAACTACTGTATTTCCGAGGCCATGATCTGTAAACCTTTTTTGCATATTTTAAAATACCATTCAGACAAATGTACCTAAATTTTTTCCACAGTGAATTTATAGTTAGTATTAGTGTTTTTACAATGCATTTTACTAAAGTTTGAAATGCTTTTTATTAAATGTGCAGCCACACGTAAAATAATCAGTGTGTGCTTAAAAGCTATTTACCAAAAAATAAATAAGTAGTAAATAAATAAAATAAAAAATGCTAATAATAATTACATAAAAATGTTTTTAAAGCCTTTGACATGTTGAGCACCACACACATTTTAAAGGAAATCTCTATCAATCCTAGTGTGGTGCTTAGTAGTGCTCGCATTGTGGTATTAAATGCGAAATGGCTTACTAACAGATTGTAAAAATAAAAAATTAGATTTTTAATAAACAAAAATTAAGTGAATTTTCAGTAATTACATAATGAAAATTTTTTAACTTTATAATCATATTTTACACTGCCAGATACCGGTGAATGACGGGCCTAAACCAAAGGTTAAATATTAGTCACCAATGACTGGTGTGGCTCTTAACATGTTATTTAACTAGGCAGCGTTTATCAGAAAAACAAATTTTTAATATGTTAAGTCGAAAGTTACAGCATTACCATAGACTATAGCATGAAAAAAAACTTTCAAAAGTTAAAGTAAAACAAGCATTTTCAAACTCTGCAGCATTTATTGCACAATTCTTTACCTTTGGAAATTGAACTATTAGCATAAGAATGATAAACTTAGCCTGTAAAAACAATTAAGAGAATTGAATGAGCTGATGTAGATCATAATATTGTGTCAACATGTGACTGCTAAAATGTACATCACAAAAATCACGAGGAAATGCACCACAACATTATGTTTAAAATGCTACCAATAAAACCACATAGTAAAATACCTATTTTTGCAAAATTAAGAATATGCAAATGATAGCTTGAACATCCTTAATATAAACCAATTACAAATCTAATCAAATTATTAACTTGTTGTTTATTAAAAGTGATTCAGCTTAGGCTCTATACCAGGACAAATACATCAAAAATCACAGACGGGATTTGGAAAAAAAACATGACATACTCCCCAGGACACAATTTTTTTTTCTCTTATGGAAAAAAAAAAAAAAAAGAATTTGCACATGCTAATTTAATGTAAATTTTACATTGTAGACAAAATTAAACCAAACTATTCAAAAATAAACATAAAACATTTCTTTCCCCTTTTCCTGCATTAATAGCAGAGGAAGAGAATTGAATAACATGGACATCTTTTGGTGCAGGTGCTTAATTAATTGCAATTAAGGGGTTTCTCAAAAAATATCAAGAAATAGGAAGTAATAAATGTTACTTCAATAAATGTAAAATTACTAGAGGAAGTGGAAAATTTATCATCTTCTCAATGTCACTGTTTTCTCCCCTCACTTGTGTTTCATCTTGGGAAATTGCTTTCCTTCTCTTCCTTTTGTTTTATAATTTTCTAAACATAGTTCGAAGTAAGTCAATTTTATTTCAGGCAGAATTAGTAATTTCTGGAAATTTTATATAGCCCTGTATTTAGTTAGCAGTTTAAAAGCTTCATGTTTACGGTTCATTCATTTCAATGTTTTTGTCAAATTATTACTAAATCAATTGCCAATTGCATTTTTTTTCTAGTCATAAAATATTTACTTTTCATGTAAATATTTAAAAAAAGGAATTACTATTTTATATTGGGACCACCTGCTTCAAGCAAACAAATTAAAAATTTAGAAGTCCTGGGTCTCAAGCACCTGTACTTTCCCAAGTCTTGCAGAATCACTGGTTAAATCTGAATGAAAGTTTTTCTCCATGCAATATAACATATTTTGAATCTCTTGAAAAAAACTAGCATGTAAAAACTTCATGAAAATTACCATATCAAGTGGCAAAAGAATTGCAATGTCTGTTCACATGAAATAGAATGGATAATCAACTTTTAACTTTAAAAATACTCTTTACTTTAAAATTATACTTCAAACTTTAAATTGCCAAGAACTTTTACTGACATTTTATAAATCTTCCTCAATAAATAAAAATTACTTTTTCTGGCATAATTAAAAGAAAAACCATTTAATATATTTCAATACACTATCAAAAGCCCCATAACAGCGTAAAATATTGCCCTAATTACCTCTATAGTTTCAAACCTTATCGTTGTGCGTTCTTTCTGAATTGTCAATTAGATAAATGAAAACAAAACAAAATTTGAGATTAATGCAGTCGTAGGAAAGAAGAGAAATACAAGATCTAAAAATTAATGATAAAATTTTTAAGGATACAAGTACCTTTACTTACCTTGGTAACGAAATAGACAATAAATATGAAATTCATGCTTGCATATTGGAAATAAAGTAGCATTTTCAAACAAAAGATTGCTCAGAAATAAATTACTCTCAAGAAAAGGTGGCAAGAAATCAAACAGAAAAATTTCACAAGATTTAATGAAGCCAAAAGAAGACAGTGAATAGGACATGTTGAAAGAATGATGGAAACCAGGGGTGATTGTGAGCCCAAGTCAAAATTCCGGAAAATTTCTTGAGTTTTAAAAAAAAAAAAACCCGGTTAACATTGAAAAATTAGAAAAAAATTTAAACAAGGTTCTTTTTTCCTTTTTCTCAATATTTATTTTACTTAAAATATATTTAAAATTTTACACATACTATTTACACATACCTATGATGACCTGGAGAAGTAATTAACATTTACAAATATGTCTTTCTTTTTTGAGTTTATGATTATAACAACTATTTACTGATAAAAAATGAATATTAATCATGAATATAAGCTCATAAAGTATCTCTCTGGCTCTCCCTTACAAACAAATAAAATAAACTGTGTTTTTAAGTTCCACCGTTGAAAATTTGATTTCCGGAAATTTCTGTGATCAATGATTTTTTTAAACTTCTGGACCTTGTATCTCCGGAAACTTCCGGATCACTGTTAGCGAAAAATCCGCAAATTCGGATTTTTTCCGGAGCACAATCAGCCCTGATGGAAACATATATGCTTAAAAAAATCATGGAAGAAAAATTATGTAATAAGAAGAAAAAGAGATGTAACAAAGCTAAGATGGCTGGATCAGGCCGAGAAAGACCTTAAAAAATGAAAATAAAAAACTGGAAAAAGACATCTGGGGAGAGTGTGAGATGGAACTCTATTGAAGAGAAAGCCCAATTAGGGCAGAAGAGCTGGAAGACAAGAAAAAGACCCGACTAGTTTCTAAAATGTAAGGAATTTTAAAAACACTTTTTAGAGCAGCCTATGGAAACAAGTTTTCAATCTGCTCTTTCTATTCATGCCTTATTGACATTAAACATTATCTTTTAATTCTGCAAAATTATTACTTTTTTCTTCAACTTCTTCTGTTAACTTTAAAATAGAAGCTTCTTTCTTTTCTTTAAACTTTTCCATGTCTACAAAATATTCTTCATAACACTTTATTCGAACATTTGTCTCTTCTATGCTTTTCTGTAATTGTTCTATAATTTCCTATAAATAAGAAGAAAAGGCATAAAACTCACCAATTTGTAATAATACAATACCATACCTGCCAACTCTTAGCAATTTTCCGGAACATTTTATTTTCATATTTAAAGTGGTAGCAATACTCAGGTTAATCCAATTAACTTTTTGAATTATAATGATAATTATAAATGAGTTTGACCACCAATACATAAAAATAATTACAATAAATATATGAAAGCATAATAACCCTTGCACAAGCGAATTTCAACGGGATTAAAATATAAATATTTTTTTGAGTCAGATTGTTTTTCGTTTATTGTTTTACAACCACTCTGAAAATCCATTCTCGGAAAGAGTGAAAGTTGGCAGGTATGTAATACATTTATTTATGTGTTACTAACTTCAATCAAAACAACTTAGTCCAAAAATGCTAAAACTTAGATGGTCTTAACCCTTTAATTTGATCCCCTAACTGAAGATAAAATAAGGAAGCTTCAGAAATAAATTCTTTGAAAAAATAATGAAACAAATCAAAATTCTGAATAAAAAAAAAAACTTTATTTAGGAATAGTGGGGAAAGACTGGGTACCTCGATTTTGACAAAATCAGTTTGATTTTCTAGAGGAAAGAATCTGTATTACATTTTACTTATTAAGAAGGAGCTGCCATATCGGTGTGGTGTTGTAGTCGAATTCATGGCATCTATACGTTAGTTTTACTGTCATCTCTCCAACACACTTTTGTTTTTAAACTATCTTCATTTATTGATTCATTTGTTATAAAAAAACTCTTTGGATTAAGACAGGATACTACACTCCCTCTATAAAGCTGATCTAAAAAATCAGGAAGAAAAAAAAACATTAAAAAAAAAAAATTTGCATCGAGAAAGAAAAAGTCGCTTCACAGAAAAACTAAAAAGGAAAACCTCAAAACAAAATGACAAAAAAGAGAAGGGTGTGAGAAACCAATACAAAATATACTAATCGAAAATACCTAAATCCTGAATTGGTGTTTCTTTAAATGAAAATGATAAAAACATCAATTGCTGTTCGTTTCAATTTTAAAGATGTATTTTCTAGGTGTATGTTGATGACCGAAAGCGGAGAATGTGATTGCCGTGGAGCTGAAGAATAAGATAACTAGTTCACATGTAAATTTCGCTCACAATATTTCTAACTTGTGATATAAAATTAAAATATCTGCTACTTTTTCACTGAAATTCCAGCATTTCTAAAATTTCTACAGAGTTTACATATGTACCCGGTCTAACTCCGCTAGTGAGAAAAGATAGGATGATTTCACTTTTTCTAGAAAAAAATAATTTGTCAAAAAAAGTAGCGCATTACTGTTTAAAAATAATATATTCTACATAACAAAGTAAATAACTTGATTAAATCTAACAGTTTGTGACAAACAATTCAGCTTTAACAGATCTTTGAATCTCAGCTACTCGATCTTATTCCACTTCTATATAATTTGTGAACTGTAGACTGCAATGTTAAGAGATACTAAACAAAATGGCTGATGTACAAATTTTCTTCTATCAATGAAACCCTGAAGGGTGTAGAACTAAAGAGACCAATCCTAAATGATGCCATGCTTGGGATGGGATTTAAGAAATTGTGACAGTTTATGACAAAGTGGAGGGAAGAAGTAACTATAAGTGAGACACATCACATTTTGGTTTAAAAAAAAAAAAAAAACATTAAAAATCAGCAAATTAAAATTTTTTTTTTCAAAATAAGAACACACATAATGATTATTATTGTTATGCTCACAAATATTTTTCACAAAACATAGAATAAGTTTAAATAAAATATGAAACATAACATGTTCTAATAGTGCTTTGTTTCTGAACATGTTAATGTAATAAAGTGTGACATGTGATTAGGAGGGTATGGTACGATGCGATACTTTGTAACAAAAAGGAAGATTGGTAAAAAATATATAAAAAAATGTGACATTTATCGACTGTCCCCAAAAAAGCAACAGCTGCAATTTTTTAGTAAGGTAAAAAACAAATTATATTTTAATTATTTATTTATTTTTATTTTAGTGCAGTTGATGGGACATTTTATCTCCAAACTTCTCACAAAACTTGTTTCAGCAAAAAGTTTGTCATCTAAGTTTAGACATCTTGCTTGACACTAAGAAGTGCAGCAGAAGAAATAACAGCTTGTTTTATTAAATAACTTTACTAAACATAAAAATTATAAAATGCAATAGTATATACTTAAATAAACTACAATACCAGCTGTTTTTTAACATCTTTCAACTTTTCTTTCCTCAAATCTCTTTCTTGTTCCAGATTACCTAAATCCTGGTCATCTCTAGACCGAACTGGAATCAAAGAAAATTGAAGTAAAAATAAACATTACATCTGAAAATCTACTAAAATAAATAAATTCTGCAAAGCAATACTTAAGCACTTTTATGTTTAAAAACAACTTTAATACAGAAAAAAAAAATCATTTGACTAAGCTCTTGACAACAAAACTTCTACTTGAAATTATGTAAATACAATAAATTACACTTAAGTAGTATTTTTTATAATCACAAGAACTTTTATATGACATAGTAATAAACACAGTAATTGGTTTTTTGATTAGAAATTCTACTTTAACATTAGTTGAAACAGTGATGAACAAACTTCTTTGAGTGGGAATCAAAGAGCAAAAGAAAAAATTTACTGTCCGCTTATACTTTATTCCCAAAAAAGCATACAGTTATTGTGATGTACTTGAAATCTGAACACCTCATTTCTTTAATAAATTCGGCATGTTTCAAATGCTCAAAAATAAGCACTTGTTTTCAAGACTTATCAGACATAAATGAAAAAAAAAAGATTTGTAATAGAAAACAATCTTTTTTTTTTCAACCAAAGTTTTCAAAGTTTCAAAATTAGCAAAGTTTTCAACCAAAAAAAAAAAAAAAAAAATGCAGTAACTGAAAGGAAACATAAGGAAATATTTTCCTTAACCACAGGGAATTGGCATTCATATGAATGATATGAAAAAAAGATTCATATGAATAAGAGCCATACTTTGATTACTTTACAATACCTGTTGTGATTACTTTACAATTACAGAAGACCAACTTCGGTATAATTACAGAAAGAAATTTTCATTGTGTTTCCCACACTGACATTAAAAATCTAAACAAAATCTTCATTTGAAATCACACTAAACACCAAAATGAAAATGTTATGCTTAAAATGCACTTTTAAGTCCTTCAACACTTACAAACATTAACGAAATCTCCGTAATAATTTGAAAAATTCATCCCTTATATAATTGTATACTTCAGTGTACTATGTTGCACTAGGACATCAAATACACAAGATCTTATTTTTAAAAACACTTTTCAAAATACATAAAATATCAGTAACTTTTTTAAATTGAAAACTTCAAGTTATAAGTAATTAATTCAGTAAAAAAAAAAAAAGAGCAATTCTTTAGCAATCTTGTTTGCTTTTTAAACAGACATAGTTATAAAACTGTCAATACATGAAAAAGATTTTACTTCATAATTCAGCGCATGAAACAGATTTTAAAAGAAAACTTACTTATTTTTTCAAAAACTTCAACCATTTCTTCCTCATTACTTAGATCAGGGTAACATTCATATATATACTTCATCAGAACCTAGAAAATAATCTCAAATTCTTTAAATACATAAAATTTATTTATAATTTATCACAGAAAAAATTTGAGAAAAAAATAAACTAGAAAAAATTAAGACACTAAGACTGAGCAATACAATGGTTCAGTAATTCATATTAAAGAATAGTTTATATTTAAACAAATTGAATTTAATAAAGTATTAAATTTAATAAGAAATTCTTTTGGTTTTGGACCAAAAGAATTTCTTTAAAGGAAACAATTGTGTTCCAACTGTTTTTCGGATCAACATTCAATTTATGAATGTATATCGAAAGACTTATAAGGCAAATATAATATTTTTCTTCATGAAGCTACTTTAAGTCATGCTGTTACATAAAAATAGAACAAAATATATGTCAACTGTGATAAGTTCTAACAGTGCGGTGCGAAATTTGAAATCAGCACAGCCCCACATTCTCAATTCTTTCTTTTTATATAATGAGTGTATATACATATAGTTATATACATAGTAGAGCGCCGATTATCCGAACTGTTCGGGACCGAACATGGTTCGGATAATTGGAAAGTTGTTTAAAATCTAGTGTAAATGATTATTATTTATGCATTAACTTCCCTTCGCACCTTTTGTAGGCTTAGGACTGGCAGTACTATCTAAAATAGCTCTGGCGTGTTTAAAATTTTTTTCCTTTTTCAATTTTTAAATATTTTTAATTAAATTTTTTTTTTCATTTTGAATTATTTTTATCATATTTCAGTTTTTTATAATTTTTTCGTCAATTACTGATTTCAAAACATTTTTCATTATTTTCCATTGCAAAAGAAATCCAGCAAAGATCTCGTTTCAAAGAAGACACGTTTTTTTTAGCAGCCATTTATCCCTTATCATTTTTTTTAGCAGCCATTTATCCCTTATTCCTTTTAAATAAATCAACTGAACTGAATCAACATCATTTTGATGTTCTAGCCAATTCATTGCGAAATCTAATGGATTGCATGCTTTTATATGAGAAGGTCCACTATCTTGAACTTGATTACTTACTTCTTTCACTTTGTCTGTAGAGTTCCGATTTTCATTCAAAATTTCAGCAACAATTTCATCAGTTTCATTCAAAAGAGCTACTGGTTCAGAAACTTCAGTATCGTTTGTTTTTCTGTTAAGAATTTTATTCCAAGCACTGTAATCACTAATTATTAACCATAAGTTACAACTATACATTCCCCAATTATAGAACATCAGAACTTATCAATTCATAAACTCCTTCTGCATTCCAACCATTGTAAGACTATCAAAATGAAGCTTGCATTCTTGGAAGATAATTTTCTGTTTTAAGGGCTAAAGGGGTATGTAGGTTTAACTGTATCAGAATACATGTATGTATGGTTACTATAAGAAAACTGCTAAAAAGGTTGTAAATTAAATATGGTCTTCAGATGTAGGGGGTATTATTTAGTCTTCTCAATTTAGAAAAATTGTCGATAGGTTAAAAAGTATTCTAAACTTAAAAAAAAAAAAGAA